TGTTATAATAAATATATAGTAAAAGTTATCTCCCTTTGCATGGAGGTTGGTACGCATATGTACTCTATAGATTTCAATTTTTGGTACACATACGAAAAGCACTTCAGGTTTTATCAGTCTTTGAAAATTGTCTATGGGAGTTTTTATGTCAAATTTGAAATCATGCATTTCACTTTTTTTCTAAAAGTAAACAAGATATTCTTGTGAAATTCAGAGTATAGAATGACTGTGACATTGTTCCAACCTGATTTGGTTTTGAAAGTAAAATTCAGGAAAATAAGGGATTTCAAGGGTCCAAACCTGAAAACAGACTTTTCCCTGTAACTTTTTTATTTTTCTACCAAGATTTTAAACTGTTTTTGGTTTTTGGTTCAGCATAAAGAGTACAATAAAAAAATTATGGCCCTTATAAGGGTCACTTTTTGACCCCTTATTGGAATTTTAGAGGACTTAACAAAATTTATATTTGTTAAAATAAATATAAAGTAAGAGTTATCTCCCTTTGCATGGCTGTTGGCTTGATTATGTACTCTATAGGTTTCAATTATGATACACATACAAAATGTACTTCTGGTTTTATGAGTCTTTTTAAAATTGTATGGGAATTTATATGTTAAATATGAAATCACACATTTCACATTTTCTCTAAAAGTAATCAAGATACTCTTGTGAAATTCAGAGTTTAGAATGATTGTGACATTGTTCCGATCTGATTAAGTTTTGAAAGTAAAATTCAGGAAAATAAGGGATTTCAAGAGTCCAAACCTGAAAACAGACTTTTCTCTGCAACTTTTTTTATTTCTTACCCATTTTTAAACAGTTTTTGGTTTTGGATTCAGCATTAAAAGTTCATTTTAAGAATTATAGTCTGTTGGTCACTCTTTGACCCCTTATAGGAGTTTAATAGGAGTTTAAAAGGACTTAATAATAGTACTTTTTATAATTTTAAAAATAATGAAGTAAGAGTTATCTCCCTTCACACAGCTGTTAAAAGGCAGAAATATTCATTTGGTTTCAGTTTTGGTACACATTTGAAAAGAATTTCTGAATCTAAGAGTTTTTTAATTTATTCCTCTTGTAAGAGTTGTCACTGTTTGAACTCTCTGATATTTTAAGTGTCAAAAAGTCCACCATTTTGTTGAACGACAAAAAGGTCTAGTTCTATTTATTGTAAAATGTTGCACAGTTTTAAGTCCAGCTGCTACTTTTCTCTTCCTTCCTTTTTTAATATGTACAAACCAGTAGAGCTATGGTCTTGCAAGAGACCTCTGGGGTTTTTTTCTTCAAATTAAGAAAAACAGATTTCTTATTGCCATTGAAAAAACCAGATGTCTGTAGTATTTTGATCCAAAGAGAATAGTGCAATTGTCCATAGTGACAAAATGCTATAATTCATTGAAAATCCTCATTTCTGCTCATGGGTATTTATCAGACAAACTAACTGCATGGTTATAAAAAGAAAAGGTGTTTCTTAACCTTTATAAAATTCATGTCCCTGGGTCAGAAGTTGTAGTGTTAGGGTAATTAATGATGAGCAAGGATGCTTCTTCCAAGATTGTGAAATTCATGGCCCCTGGGTCTGGTGTCAAAGTGGGGTCTATTGATCAGTGCTTGTAAAGGTAAGGAATGTGTTCTGAAAGTCTTATTTTGAAGATTGTATCAAAATCTTCAGTATACTGAAACTCATGTTTAGATGCACATACCATAAGGAGGAAAAAGTGAAGCAGTATACTTTATCTTAAGGCAGACATGAATTATTTTTCTCCATAAAATCACATTTTTGGTGTTCTGAAACATTTAATTTCCTGAAACCTAATACTTTCAAGAATTGCACAAGTCATGCAAAAACCAAATTTTTGTCAATTTTCATTTTTTGTGTCACCGTGTTGCTTTTGTCATTCAAAGACTGAGATAGACGAAAGGTAAATTGAATTATATTGGATTAACTATTTGAAACTGTTCTTTATGCTCTAGCACTATTTTTTAGTTTGCATTGACACATACAGGCAAGTAAATAAATTTACTAAATGAGCTTTAGCTGAATACTAGGCTAACTATTTTGTTGATCCCTGATCATCCTTTTTCTCTTGCTTTTGATCTTTATGAGCAACATAGCTTCAACTATCAGTGTATATAAACTAAATATATATATCTTTATCCCTTGTTTACCCCTTTATCCCGTGGATATGACTCATTGGATATTTTTTTCATAACCCACAGTTAAGTGCAGTTGTGACGTCACAATGGTTTTTGCGTTAGCGTGATGAAGTAAAATTGAGTGGAGTCCTATATAAAACAGTGTAAAACATTAGTTGTGAAGTATTAAACATGGGATAAAAAGAATCTCCCATGATTTGTAGTTGGATATGACTTTTATCCAACTCGTTGTGTGTTTTTATCCCCTCGCCAAGGCTCGGGGATAAAAAAACACACAACTCGTTGGATAAAAATCATATCCAACTACAAATCATGGGAGATCCTATATATATTATATACTAATATTAAAATTTATTATGACCCTCTGTTCTAAATTTCATTCCAAAAAAATTCATAAACATTTCCAACATTGATTTTAATTAGGCCTAATATCAAAACACTTAAAATACCCTGGTAAAAAAAAAAAATTAAGATAGAGCATGGCGTACTTTCTCGGAAATGAATCTTATGTCATACCATGAAATGAAGATACTTTGGCACAGAGAAAAGAAAGAGCAATTATTTATTATCACAGCGTAAATTTAAGAGTATGAGGTATGTATAAAGATAATATTTGGTGTGTTATCTGATAAGTTCAAATAAAAATATAATAAATAAATTAAAGAGTTGTTTTTAAGTCAGAATATCACCTTGTTTCCATGTTGGTAAAACAATAATGAGTCCATCAGCAAGTGGTCTCTTAAATTTTTATACCCGTACTATTCAAGGAAAGTTCAGGCATATTGATATTATCCTGGTCCATCTGTCTGTCTATCTTCTTCCTTAACATGTATTCCTGAGACTAGCCCACTCCAGACCTCTCCTCTTTTGCAAAATGAAATGTCGTATACATGAGAAGTACATACTCGGGGGCTTACAACATTGGAACAATGACCGACAATGCTGAGAAGTGTTAGATACCTGTCTGTGGGCCTGGGTCACTGTAGAGCTTACATTTTAAATATAAGCAAACTCATCTTTTGGATTTTGATTGGTGATACAGTAACTGTGAACATATGCAGAAAGATTCTGAAATTTCCATTTTTAACCTGGGGGCCAAATTGGGGTAAAAGGGTTTTTTTTCTGCAAAAATCTGCATCCCTGTATACATTTTTTGCAGTAGCCCATTCATATTTCTGTAATATATGATTAGTGTCCTGTAGATGTGCAATAAGATTTTGAAATTTTATTTTCACTCTGGGGGTAATTCTGGGTTAAAAAAAATGTTTTTCTATAAAAACCTGGTTTCCGGAACTCTTACATTTTTAGCTCACCTGAGCTGAAACCTCAAATCATCTTTTGCATGATGAATGGTGGTGTTGTCTAGATCCAGTATATGGAGTAAGGTTTCAAAATTTTGATTTTCACCATGGGAGGACCAAAAGTGAGTCAAAATGACATTTTTTTTTTTTAAAAACAAGAAACTGATTCCTGAACTTGACTAACCTTTTTCACAGCAGCCCAAACATATTTTAGAATAAGTCTAGGAGTTTTCTGTAGATGTGCATTAAGGTCTTAGAATTATTGTGGCTTCTTCCCTTGTTATCCAAATATGAAGGTGAGTACATTTAGAGGCAAACATTTGTGTGGGTATTACTGTCTTATAATAGCATCTAGTTCTTTATGTAATAAAAAATATACAGTACTAATGATATTTCTGGTTAAATTTTGCAGTTTTTTTTTTTTTTTTTATATTTTATACAAAAAAACCATACAAATATTCTAAATTAACATGTTAAAAAGTGCAAATGTTTCAGGTCAAATATAATAATTTACTAATATGAAAAGTATTGACAAAAGAAGGTACAGATGATGTTTGTATATGGAGGTTTTATGAAATGCTACATGAAAGTATAAAATTTGAACTAACATCATCTTTGTTAGCCAATGATTTCTGATAGCTACTCTTCTCACAAATTCTTGGCTTCTGGTCTTTCAAATGTCTGGATATTTTTTCTCAGAAAGTGATTAGAGTTTATTGATATCATTTGACCAATTAGCGATTATTTGTAAAAGCAATAGATTCTCCATTTGGGATATATCTTGACTCTTTAGTCATGGGAATGAAAAACATAATTAAACAATAATCTGTAAGATAACGTCATTCTATAAATAGCTATTGTGTCATCAAACTTTAAGCTGATGGGACCCAATGTGGAATCTTTACTGCAAATATAGATTTGCACCTTAAATAACAAGAAAACATTGTTTGATACCTGCTTGAAAAATGTTTTATAAATACATTAATTTTTAAATTATACACCTTTTATTTCTATCAGTGACACAATCTGTGTGTATGTGGTAAGATCACACGACAGACTTCTGATAGGCCAAGGGTTTATGGGTAGAGTAGGGAATCAGAAACCCTTGGCTAGCAAAGGTGAACTTACATTCATGGCTTATGGCTAAAGAAGAACTTCCATTTTGGATAATATTCTTTGAAAGTTATCTCTCTTGTCAGAGGTCATTAGACATTACATGGCATTCTAAGATCCTTTAAAGGCTTGCATTATACTCTACTTAGGTGAGCATTAAGGCCCTTGGGCCTGTTGTTTTTTGTTGTTCCTTAAATAAAATGAAAGTTGTGGCAAAATTCTTCTAAAATGTTATTCCTGATATAAGTTTATCATAAACAAACTTTAAAGCATCAGGATGTATAATTTTGTAAATGTTAAACTTTTTTTTAAAATGTATCTTGAGTACAGATGCAATTTTTCTCATCCACTACAATAAGAACAAACCAGTAAAGTTATGGTTTAATAAAAGTCACTTTATTTTGACAGTCTTTTTTCATTTATCTATAGGAAAATGAAAGCACTAGGATAAAGCTTGAAGAAGCTACAGTGAATACCGGTGCCATAGCTAAACTTGCTGAGGCTGAAAGTAAGATACCAAGAATACCCAGAATATAAACTTTATATTGTAAAATGGTTTTTTGGGTTTTTTGTATTTCATAATTTTTGCAAAAATATACCAAACACTGTTATCTCTGATTATCAGTCCTGTTTTGCCATTGTCCCAGTGGTTTAATAGAATTATCAAATAAATGTAAAATATATACAGTACACAACCAGTGACAATTTTATGCAGGTTTTTTTTTTGCTATCTAAATGCTTGCAAAGAAAGCAAAAATTGGATCATCATGAAATAACATTATACAGAATATATGCTTTTGGGAAAGAAACATGTATGTGTACATAACTTGGCGTATTCAAAATTTAGTGCATTCACTGGGTATGGAGTTTTTGGCGTAATCATAAATTAGCGCTCCACATGTCCATGCTGTGTATTGTATAAATAAATGATTTATTAGTGGTATTCATAAATATTTTGTTCAAATCCGATGTCAACTTCCTGTTAATTCGTGCGTCTGTCCGTACCATACATAACAAATTTTGGTTGCAGTTTTCTCTGCAACTACTCAGCGCAAATGCTTGAAAATTTAGCACAATCTTTGTTTAGGCATGCCATATGGTCAGATTTTTTTTTGTTCGAATCCAATGTCAACGTCCTGTTTATCCGTGCGACTGTCCGTACCAAATTTCCGTCGCATATTTCTCAGCAACTACTCAGTGTAGATGCTTGAAATTTTAGCAAAATCTTTGTTTAGGCATGCCAAATGGTGGGATTTATTTTTATATGAATTCAATGTCAACATGAGAGGGTAACCGTATATTCACATCAGAGCGGGGGTGTTACTAGTGAGCATTCACTCACAGACTTCTTGTTTTTATTGATAAAGAAATTATTAAATCTTGAAGCTAGTTTTTGTAACTTTGGGATTTTCATTCTACATCATTTAGAATGTTCACAGTGTGACACACAGTATATTACCCCTGGCTACTGATATCTACACACTTTTAAATTTAGATTCTTATTATAAAGAAACCCTGATTGCTGCATGTTTACACAACATGCACAATATGGCATGACTATCTCATCAATTTTACAGACAGGAGAGATTGATTCGATAATAATTATGCTCCATTGCACATCACACTGTGAAGTGATGACAGACTGTAAAGGGTGGTTAGAAAAGTTTGCAGACAAATTTCTTGTGAACTTTAAAAAATGACATATGTCAGATTAAATTCTTGTCTTTCATTTATGATATGTAAAAAATCAAATCCATTTACTAAAATTAAAAAAAATATACATAGATTTTTTAGCACGGTTGTAGGATTCATGGTGTTAGCAATCACTTGACATTTTTTGATGTTAGGTGACATGACAACCTGATTCCAGCTTTTTTCACAGTTCTTAATATCTTTCAGATCTAGACTTTCTTGTCTTTTTTTATACTTAAAAATTGCATAATTTTAGAAAGACATGCTACTTATTTCTAAAATATGTCTTTTGTGGCAAATTAGTTACATGTATTAGTGAGATCTGAAAAATCACTGCCTATGCAGTTTAGTGATCAGGTATGGAAACAGTGTAAAATCCAAATAGGTGTATTAAAGTCCTTGCAATAGTGGGATATTGGGGTATTGCAGGAGTTGATCATCAAACTTTCTAACAAAGCTACTACCACTGGGCACCTGTTGGAGATACATGTAGGTAATCCCAAACAGCATGTAAAAACAATATAGTCTATTTCAGGCATTTTCCTGTCTGCAGACATGATTTTTAAATAGCTCGTTGCTCCAAGACCTTTAATGACATTGCCATTCTTGACTTTGTTTTTATGTATTTCATAAAGGCTAGTTATTGCTCTTAATATCCTATGCTAATAAAAATATCACGAGAATGAAATTTTCGCGAGCAGACCATCTTGCGTATTTATGCGAAATTAAAGTTCTCGCGAATAAAAAATTATTTACAGTATATAACAGATAAATTAAGTACATGATTTTGATGAGCAAGATGCCACTTTCAAAATTGTGAAATTTGAGGCCCAGGGTAAGGCGGTGTTGTGGGTAAAGCTGTACTGATTGCCTAGTGAAAATGCATTATTTTTTTGAAAATCTTTTTCTTGGCTCTTTGGTATTAAACAAACAAACAGTTATGATGAGCAAGGATGCCTCCTTCAACTTTTTAATTTAATGGCCCCTGGGTTAGGGGATCTGGTGTTAGGGCAGAAATCTTTTAATAGACCAGATTGTGAAAATGCACAAGTTCCTTAATTTATTTTTTCTTTGCTTCTAGGTATTTAGCAGACAAAATAATTGCATCTTTATAATAAACAAGTACAAGGATGGGGCTCTGTTGAATATTATAGACAAAATGCATTATATCTTTGAAAATCTCTGCTCCTGGGTGTTAAGCAAACTTGTCTAATCTAAACACCACTGGTTCCAAAGAAATTGGCCGGATTAGACAACATTCCAGATAAAATGACATTTTAAACAATTGAATTTATTGAAAAGAGCTTAAAGTTTACACCATATTAGACAAGATTTTGGTATACACAACATCTGGATTAGACAAGTTTTACTTTACTTGCATAGGAATAATGAGCAAGGGTGCTAGAGCAGGTTTCTATTGATTACTATAAAATCATTTTAATTTCTAGGGGTCAATGTTTATGGGCAAAAAAATGTTACAGGTTATTGGGGTTCGTAATTTCATGGGTATTTCATAAGTAAAGAATGCAATGTACCAATTTGTTGGCAAAATTTTGAGTCATGGGAATGTAAATTTGTGGGATAGGGTGGCCCACAAAATCCACAAAAATTGGTCCCCCAGGAACATTAATGATTTCACAGTATAACATGAAAATGCATTATTTAATTCTCTGGTTATTTAGCAGAAAGATTATGTGCAAAGTTATGAAGACCAACGGTACTTTTTCATAAACTTACACATTTTATGGCCCCTGGGTCAGAGATTCCTGTGTAAGGAAGGGGATGTGTTGAATGTATAGTAAAAATGCATTTTTTTTTGTTGAAAATCTTCTCCTCTGCTCCTGGGCATATAGGAATCAATCAGAGTACAAATACGAGGGGTTATCAAAAAGTTCGTGGACTGATGCGATAAAATTAATACTATGTAGTTGTTGATTACAAAATTTGTAGGGAACATAAAACAACAAAAGTTTAAGAAGTGTTGAAAATTTCAGCTTGATATGTTGATAATTTGCCAAATTATCATTAAATAAAAAGAGCATGATATGATCACCCGGCGCTGTCGCCGTTTATTGTCATGACGTCCGACAACGTCGTTATTTCTCCATGCCCGCTCCCTCTGCCTCAATACACTTATTTTGATGAGATTCTCTAGAGTAAAGTAAAGACCTAAACCCGTCTTGTTTATATGACTTTACAATGTTATGAACATCTGATTTCAATGCATTAATATTGTAAATATTAAATCTATACATAGGGAAAAATCCTCGCTTGATTTTGCCAGCATAATTTTTTTTGTCGGAGCTCAATGTCAACCAATGATCAACGTCACTTTTCGACGTGACTGACTTTGGACACCTTGACTACAAATCGACATTAACCGTGTGTCTCTTTTCTTGCTGAATCTGTCTTGGTATTTAAAGACAAGTACTCTGGATGTATTTTATTTCTCTGTAGCCTGTTTAAACATTTTCTAGGTCTATGTCAGGTTTTCCAGGGGCTGAAACTTTATAGAATGTTGTAAAATGACACCCTACCCCCTTTCGACGTCATTTTTAACCCCTTTATTGTCTGGACATTCCCTATAAAATTTACGATAAAATTTCATAGAATATACAGAATCAGGTAAAAATTACAACTTTTACGGAAAAATTATGTCATATCACATGAGTGAATTAATGGGATTTTCGGATGACAAATACTCATATTAGAAGAGTTTTTCTCAGTTACACTCAGGTAGAAAATACGTCATGTTCGAGGTTGAGCCTCCTTGACATACCATTGCTTACAAAAACATTTACAATACACTCAAAAATAAAACTTATGATTTATAGTTTATTTTACGGACAGAAAAGAATATGCTTATTTAATGTTTAAAAATTCATTGATGTATCTCAAGCGGTTTTAATTTTATGACGCCAGTCCATGAACTTTTTGATAACCCCTCGTATGTAATACATATATGGGTAATTTTACTAAATTTGTGAAATTTTGGACCACATACTTGATCAAGTGTTCTGGTGCTCTGTGTTCTGTAGGGAAAATTGGGGCCCCAAATAGCAGTGAGGGAACTGTTTGGGGAACATCTGTAATGGTTCCTGTTACAATTAGCACTACATGTAGATAGTTACTTTTTTTTGGTTTCAACATGTTAAGATGTTACTATGGCAAAAAGTGTTATTAAGACATTTATTTCAAAAGAAATTATTGCTAAAATTTGTTTTACAAATAATTACAGAGCTTGCAAAAGCAAATGATGAAAAATTCAAGAAAATGAAGGAGATATACAATAAGCTGAGAGAAGAACATGTAGCCCTTATCAGAAAGGTAAACATCTTGTAGTTTTGTTCACAATTTGTCAGATGTTATTGAATATTGGGCTTTAGATGGAACTATTATGATATGGCATATTTTCTGTCTATCTTTAAGTTGTTCAAAATATGTTTGAGCTGTGCTGTTCTCTGTATACAGTTTTTTAAATCAACTAATTTTAAATGATACATTTTTACCCCACCTGAGCTGAAGATTGAAGTGAATTTTGCTGATTATGGGGCAGGGACTTCAATGGAAGATCACAGTTTAAAATATTTAGGAAAAATCTTTTTAAAAAATCTTGATAAGAACAGCAAAGTCATGATTAATCATACTTATATGGAAATATCCTCAGGTAGTGAAGATTCAGTTTTGTTTAAATCATAACTCCCAGAGTTAGGAGGGGCCATAATTAAGGAATAACTGTCTTATTTTTTGGATTCATGATGTGATCAATCGAGTGGCTTGCATGATAATTTGCATAAACGCCTTCGGCTTTTATGCATAAAATTATCACGCAAGCCAATCGATTGATCATCGTCATGAATCCAAAAAATCTGACAGTTATTCCTTATATTTACATGCTCCTGATTCTGCAAATTCCCGTGCTAATAGCCCTGCTTCTGTTTCTATTTGTCCCGCCCCGCACGTGATTTTTTTTAACTGCGCCTATTGATGAACCAGTAGATTTATGTAGAAATAAAGTATTTTTACAATTTGTAATTTTATCTCAGACAAAGACATTGGAAATGTAAATATTGAGTGATCAAAGTTTAACAAAAGAATATATAGGGAAAATCTTTAAAAATCTTCTCAAGAACAGCAAAACCATGATTAGTAATATTAATATGGAAGCATCTCCAGGTAATGAAGACTCAAGTTTGTTCAGATGTGATTGTTGGGAATAGGGAAGGGTAATCCAAGTTTTACATTGGAATACATAGAAAAAACTAAAAATTTCATCTCAGTAAGACTATCAGGTAGTGTAGATTCAAGTTTCTTCAAATCATGACCCCGTGGGCAGGGAGGGGCCAAAATAGGCCATCAAAGTATTACATGTATATAGGAAAGCATACAAAATATCCTTAATCTTTTCAAGAATAGCAAAGCCATGATAAGTCATATTTTTATGGAAGCATCCCCAGGTTGTGTAGATTCAAGTTTGCAAATCATGTGGGTAGGGTGGGTAAAATTAGTACTGTAGATTCCTAAATATACATGAGGAATTAATTAATGCGTAATTACGCGAGGAGCACCACTCGCGAAATAAAATTACACGCTTTTATTTTTATGGTGTTGAAATCAATGTTAAATCTCATTGTAAACCGTCCATTCACGAATTATTGTTCTCGCGATTTGGTGTCTAAGAGCCCTCTCGTGATATTAAGTACTTGCGTAAAATAAGGAATTTACAGTATCACTTTGATGTTTGGACATTTCCCCATTTCAAGATAATTTAAAACTATTAAACATTTTAAATAAGAACAACACTGATGTTTCAGAATGCTGACACAACTAAGAAGCTAGAGGTAGAGAAAAGGTTGGTCCAAGAAAAAGAGCAATCAATTCAGGTAAAAATAAGTTATGTTTTACAAGATTCAAATCATTTCCAAAAAGTTGGTAACTGATACACATATTTATAATTAAAAAGATTTAAAGTATTTTTGTTAAAGTTTTGAAAATAGAGAGTCATGAAAAATGCATTTTACATAAAAATCTGTTACAGTATGTGACTTACATTACATGTAGCATGTGAGAAACACTGGAGATTTTCCAACTGCAATGATTGATGCATAGTTAATCCTATTTTTACCTGTTTGATTTGTTTGCCGTTGAAGTGTACAATTCTATCCCTTTATCAAGTGAAAATTTATTTTGTTTTCTATCATTAAGTTTTTCTTATTTTTTTTTTTTGTAACCCAAAAGAATATGTGTTTTGAAAAGTCATCAGATATAAAACTATTGTATATACTCAAACAGTAAAACATGCCCATAGCGAAAATGCTTATAATGAATTCATTCTTACAGGAAAGTGATTTTCATCCCATTTGGCTTCTAATTATATTGTGAACTTAACGGATATTACAAATAGTGTTTATAACAAAGCAAATTCGTCCATCCCTGGCACTTTGTTATAAGCATGATTTACTTTAACCTGATATACATGTATATCTTGATCATCTCAGCTAAACTAACTACCTTTATCTAAAATGTCCTCCACTTAATTTGCATGTTCTTGCATTAGGAGTCCAAATCTCAGATGGAGCGACTTGAGAATGAAAGGAAGATCATTCAAGATAGTCTTCAGCAAAGTGCTGATGAGGTCACCTCACAGCTTGCTGAGGCAACTTCTCAAAACACTGAGCTGCTGAACAAACAGGAAGTAAGTAATATAGCTCACTGAGACATTGAGTGCTGAACAAACAGCAGGTAAGTAATATAACTCACAGAGACATTGAGCTGCTGAAAAAACAGAAGGTAAGTAATATAAATCACTGAGACACTGAGCTGTTGAACAAACAGCAGGTAAGTAATATAACTCACTGAGACATTGAGTGCTGAACAAACAGCAGGTATGTAATATAACTCACTGAGACATTGAGCTGCTGAACAAACAGCAGATAAGTAATATAACTCACTGAGACACTGAGCTGCTGAACAAACAGCAGGTAAGTAATATAACTCACTGAGACACTGAGCTGTTGAACAAACAGGAGATAAGTAATATAACTCACTGAGACACTGAGCTGCTGAACAAACAGGAGATAAGTAATATAACTCACTGAGACACTGAGCTGTTGAACAAACAGGAGATAAGTAATATAACTCACTGAGACATTGAGCTGCTGAACAAACAGCAGGTAAGTAATATAACTCACTGAGACATTGAGCTGCTGAACAAACAGCAGGTATATAATATAACTCACTGAGACACTGAGTGCTGAACAAACAGCAGGTTAGTAATTTAACTCACTGAGACATTGAGTGCTGAAAAAACAGCAGGTATGTAATATAACTCACTGAGACATTGAGCCGCTGAACAAACAGCAGGTATGTAATATAACTCACTGAGACACTGAGTGCTGAACAAACAGCAGGTTAGTAATTTAACTCACTGAGACATTGAGTGCTGAACAAACAGCAGGTATGTAATATAACTCACTGAGACATTGAGCTGCTGAACAAACAGCAGGTAAGTAATATAACTCACTGAGACACTGAGCTGCTGAACAAACCACAGGTAAGTAATATAACTCACTGAGACACTGAGTTGTTGAACAAACAGCAGGTAAGTAATATAACTCACTGAGACACTGAGCTGCTGAACAAACAGGAGATAAGTAATATAACTCACTAAGACATTGAGCTACTGAACAAACAGCAGGTAAGTAATATAACTCACTCAGACATTGAGCTGCTGAACAAACCGGAGGTAAGTAATCAGTGATTTTTTTTTTGGTCAAAATGCCACCGATATTCAGCTGTTTCCCCTCACAAAAATTAGCCATTTTTTCCCAGTTATTAGTATATTTTTCCCAATTTCAAACATACGGAAATTATGTTTTAATTTTGAACAAAAGTCGCTATAAATTTGCTGACAGAGTAAATACGTTTTTATTCTTCAAATCCATGCATATGCAGCCGATTTTTTTAATGAATGTGTAAAACAATGCAGATATCCATATAAGCAGATGGGTAGCTTATAAAATTCTCAGTGAATTGGTAAATAGTTCCCAGATACAAGTCATGTTGCGTGTTGTTGACATAATGATTTTGGTTTGACCGCCATTATTACATAGAGGGTCAGGCTAATAACAGGAAATGGACAACACGTAGGGTTTCACTAAAATCAGGAAAAAACAAACAGTAAAGACTGGAAACTTGATTATCAATAGAAGACAGTGTACTAGATTATGAGTCTAAATGCTGGTTATCTTTTTTTTAAATGAAATTAGACAAAGCAATTCCAAGAAAATAGAAGCTACAAGATGTGACTAATATAAGCCATGTTCACATTCAATAAAATATTGATGTTAATTTTTTAAATTTATTTTATGAATTTATATCAAAATCAAAGTTAAAATCAAGCAAAATCTGTTGTTGTTACTTAGTTTGATTATTTTATGTATTTTTTAGCATTCTAATTTACTATAAATAATTTTTCCCAATTTGAGGAAAATGTTGCTAATTTTTCCCAATTCAAAAGGAGGGGGTGGTGGTTTAAAAAACAAAAAAAATCACTGGTAATATAACTCGCTGAGACACTGAGTGCTGAACAAACAGCATGTTTGTAATATTTTATACCTCATAGCTCACTGTCACAAATCCCCTAAACACAGAGCTGCTGCCATGCTAAAATGATTTTAAAAAAGCATTAAATGCCAGTTTTATTTTGCCATAGACTTTATTCTCACACATATCATATGAACAATAAAGATTGAAATTTACTCAGACTAAGTATGGGAACTGAGTAGTTCATGGGGTTAAGGTGTTCACCTATAGAACAGAGGATTGTGAGTTAAAGTGTGGCTTGTGGGGATATTTTTAGCTCATCTGAGCCAAAGGCCCAAGTGAGCTTTTCTGATCAAAATTTGTCCCTTGTCTGTCGTTGGTGTTGTCAACGTTGTCGTCGACCCTCAGGGGAAGGGTGGGGCCACAGTGGGTGATCAAAGTTTTACCTAGGAATACATACAGAGAATCTTTAAAAATCTTCTCAAGAATAGCAAAGCCATGATTGGTCATATTTATATGAAAGCATCCTCAGGTAGTGTAGATTAAATTTTTTTTTTCAAATCATGGTCCAAGGGGGTAGGGTGGGGCCACAATGGATGATCAAAGTCTTGCATAGGAATAAAAAGGAAAAATCTTTAAAAATCTTTTTCTCAAGAACAGCAAAGCCATGATTGGTCATAAAAAAATAAAAGCATCCTCAGGTAAAGATTCAAAATTGTTCAATCATGACCCCCCAGGAGTATAGAGGGGTCATAACAGGGGATCATACCGTATAACGGGTATTTTCTGCGGTTGGAAATTTTTTTGATTTGAACCCTAAAAGGTAGCAAATTATTTTCTGTGTTTTCAATTTCTGCGGTTGCACTATACTGCAAAAATTTATTTACGGGGTATGTTCATGCACTAAAATTAATGAATTATCAGAACGCTTCATTAAGACATATTGATCAAAGGTGCATGAGAACTGGTATTAAGCTATTAAGCTTATTTAAACTACTATCTTTTAGTTAGTTTTTGTAAAAATATTTCGAGCACCAATTGAAATGAATTAATGCAGTGTCAGTCCACCCAAACAACAATACAAATCTTTATTCTAACTGACGTTTTATGCGATCTATTAAAATATTTAAATATATAGATAATGATAATAAATGCATCCAAGCCATATTCTGAAATACATTTCTAGTTAACTGCCATCAAAATTAATTTGGTGTTTATGTTTTAAGCTAAAACAAACAGTTGCATAATCTAGTACCCTAATGTCGACAGTTAAAAATCACAGGTGTCATGTGCATTGAGGGGTAACTAATCCTGTCAGTTGTATGCATTAGGTGAAATTCATGAGACAATCGAGCCACATTGTGTATACAAGCAGTAATTGTCTCAATATAAAACACAAAATTGAAAAAAAAAGTGTTTAAAAAAGAAAAGCTACCATGTGTTGTTTGCAGCTATCGGAGTTTGGACTAATAATTGTGAAATAGGTACAAGAAAAGATGTTTTTGTATCAACTTATTTAATTGATATTATTTACAGGAAGGTTTTGATTCAATATGTTTTGGACAAATCCTGACATCTAAAATCTTCGAATTTCGATGACACGTGTATTTTCTTACAAGGATTTGGCCACTCATGAGTCTGCGGACACATCGATTTTAAAAATCCTTGCATTCCAAATAATTTTGCTGCATCAAGTACGCAGGTTCTTGCATTAATGAGATCCTTGTCAGACATATGTACACCTTATAATTGCATGTACAAAATATCTGAATGAATATTGAAAAAATATTTTGCGATTGTAATTTTTGCGGATTTATCCTATCCGCAAAATTCCGCAAAAATTGGACAACGGCAGAAAATACCAGTTATACAGTAGTTATGCAAAGGAATATAAAGGATATATCAATAAAAATTACTTAAGAACAGCAAAGCCTTTATTAGTCATATTAATTCAAAAGCATCCTTAGGTGGTGTAGATTCAATTGCAAGTTTCTTCGAATCATACCCCTACCCCCAACCACATTGGAACCACTTTAATATTTAAACTTTTCAATACTGAACTGTTTTCTGCTTTTTCCTAGCAAAAGTGCTCAAGTGAGCAATGTGGCCCTTGTTTTAAAATTATATAATGGCTTCACAACTACATGTAAATCTGGCATTTAGAATTGGCAAGATAGAAGCCACCATTAAACGCTTTAAATACACTATCTTTGTCACGTTTAGGGAGACTTAAAGGAGATGAACATGGCTTACTGATAACTTAATGATGGTGTATATACTACCTGAAAGATAGTTTAAAGGATGTTTAATGGTGATTTTAAAATGATGTTTAATCATACATTAAGCACCTATAAGCTGTGTTTAAGCCAAGCTTAAAAGAAACTCATCTTGCAAAATATACACACAAGGAAGGTAAGAGTGCATTGTACAGCATGCTATTTGCCTGTTGTGGTATACTCTGAGAAAAGAAACAATTATGAATAACAGAAATGTAAGTATGGCATGGATATAATTATGAAGCATCATGCAACCAACAACAGAGACTCAAATTTAATAAAACGGTGTGTACTATTTGACAGAGCCCACCAAATGTAGCTTGTGACCAACTGCACATTTTGGTAAGTTTTGTAATCAGAGATATTTTCACATCCATTTTAATATTCAATTTTACAAACATTTCCTGGTGTATTGTATTTGATTCTTGGTTGACTTTAGGAATCACTATCTAGTTTATTAGGTATTCCAGGGACATTAACTACTGTTGGAAACATGGGAAAATTATCCCCTATTATTACCCCATGTTCCTAACTGTTGTTAATGTCCCTCCCATATCCAACAAAGAGAAAACAATTGGAAATGTAGATATTGGAATATGATCAGTGATGACATAGTTTTAATGCTGTAATTGTAACTACTTTTCATGTTCATATTAATAACTAAGTCTTATTCCTAAACACAGCATTTGGAAAACCAAGTGAAGACCTTAGGAGACACAAAAGCTAACCTGATGTCACAGCTACAGAGCACTGAGGAGGAGTGTGAGAGTCTCCAGTGTAGGCTGGAGGCCCTAGAGAAAGAAAAACACCAGTCTGAAGATGCCCTTCAGCTTGAGATAAGAAATGTGCATGGGCAACTGGCATCTCTGAAAGATGAGATGACAACAACTGAGATTAAGAGGAAGAACGAGATTGATAGCTTAAAGGTTTGATTAACAGTTCTTACTGATCAGAAGTATTGGCACATAAGAGAAGAAAATTTGATACACTTTTGGCAAAAATGATTTTAGCATTTAGAGGTACATTTATTATAAAAAAAACTAACATAATAATTTAGTAAGATTTATAAGATGAAAGTATAAAGTAGAGCAACAAGGATAATTCTAAAAAACAACTGTAAAAAAAGTGCCTAAGACTGATGCTCAGAAATTATCCTCAGAACCAGCTAGAGAATACATTATCAGAGAAGACAAAAATGGAGGCCCAGCTTAAGGAATGTATTGAAGATCTGCAGCATCGTCTCAATCAGCTGGATACTGACAAGCAGAGCAGTGAAAAGAGGCTCCAAGATAATCTCAGTCAGCTCCACAAAGACCTTATTGGTGAGCCTCTGCCATCTGATAACTTATTAAGATTACTCATTATGTTGTAAAGATTGATCATTGTCTTCCCAAAACAAAGTTTGGGAACATATTGCTTTTACTGATGCTTCTACAGTGAAACCTGTCTTATCCAACCTGCTACGGGAAATAAAATCAATGTCAGATTAGACAGTGATTACTTAGTGTTGAACACTTCTGAACATTTATATGATAGTGTCATATGAATTTTTATTTTAAAAAAAAAAATCATTTTTCATTAGGTTTAGAGTATACATGTATTTAATTGTCAGTGTTTGCATAGTTGTATGTTTTTATGTTGTATAAAATGTAACTTCGACTGACTTACATTTCTTTGAGAAACAGGTTTGTGATAGCATTAGTAAAGTCTGTAGTAATATCGTCTGAAGTCTGACAATGATTTTTTTAAGTGGACATGGAACTGCCGATGGCTTTGAGATGTTGCAATTAAATTTTTAGGATTTTTCTTACTGATAGTAGATTTTAAAGTAAACCTTCTCTAAAAAGAGTTATGATTGTTTTTTCTACACTACATTTCTCTGTAGAAATGTAGTGTAGAAATTCTCTTTGATTTTTCTTCAGTGATTTTTTCAATATAGGCTGTGTTATTAATTAGGTCAAGCAACTTTTCATACAAACAGGACATAACTCTAAAACTTAATGATTTTTATAATAATGGATTTTAATCAAATAGAAGTATTATTTCAAAATAATCGGCAAACTTAAATCGACATTTTTTGGCTCCAGGCAAATCTTTTATGTACACAGCCTTGCTTAATTCAGTGCATATTAACCCCTAAATGAAATATTTCTTATTCTATAGACAAGAATAGCTGCATAGAATATGTAGTTGCACAACACATAAGTTTTTAGTGGGGAGTAAGGTGCTTGATTAAACATTCACTGGTCCCTGCAATATATCTGTTTGTAAGGATAAATCATTTTGATGTACTAGGCACACAGGTTATACAATTTAAGTGAATTTTTCTATCCAGTCAAATGATGTGTTACAACCAGAATTAAAATATATTAAACTTAAAATTGATGTGTTTGTCCCTTGAATTTTATCTATTATGAGTAGCCTGTTTGCTTCACACTACATAGTCATTTTCTCTAAAAAAAAAAAAAAATAATAAATAAGTAGGTCCTTCAGGCTAGATCTTGTTATATTACAAGTAGGCTTTTCCTACGGTCCCGAGAAGCACAATTTTCTTTTGTTATTCTGAAATTCTCTAAATTAAATGTGGGATTATTGCCTTTCTTTTTTTCCCCTAAATGCAGCTGGTGCAGTGAAAGAAGGAAGAAAATTCATTGGTGATGCCATGCAACAGGTGGAAAACCCAACACATATTCCTGTCAGATGCACTGCAGGTAAAAAGAGAGAAAAAAAGTTCTTCAATGAAAATTAAGAAAAGTTCTGTTCTTAATTTATTCTTATCATGAAACATTAAGAGATATAAGTATATGAATGATTTGTACTTTCAGAATTTTTGTTGCTAAGAGCTGAACCTGTTCTCTCTTCCCTTGAGAATCTCAAAACAGCCCAAAATGTATACACTCAAAACCAAACAGGTATTTTTTTCTGTCTTATTTCCACACAGTGAAAACTGCATGTGTAGACAAGGAGAAATATGTCATTACACTTTTGAAAATTTTCTTCTTACTTGTGGACATTTAGCAGGCAAACTGTTAAATTGCACAGCTCTGGACTATTTCCATGTATTAAAGTCACAAAATTATAAAATATAACCCATTCACAATAACTCTTGTACTGCACATTTGCAGGGCAAATTAATACAGTTTACCAAAGTTGGTTAAATGATGTTTATCATACATATTGCAATTACGTCATATTGCAGCAAAATATATCAATTTGCCCTGCAAAAGAACAGTACCTGTACCACAGTTATCATGAAGCAGTGTATTTGTGAAATGTTTGTTCCCGAAGTTCAGTCCCAAGGGTAGGGCATAATTAATTGATGGTGAACAATAAGTTCTCACCAAATTATAAAGTTCGTCCCACGTGTATAGCATTCCAGTCTAGGTGGAACTGAGTTACTAGTAATTATTTTAAGAGAAATACTTAATACTCAGGTTATTTATCATCAAGCCACTTTAGCATCGCAAGTCATCATTATGTTTATTTATTTTACAGATCTAGAGGCTCTCTTGACAACCATCTCGAACTTTAGCCATAACATGAGTGACTGTGTAATAAATGGAATTGCCACGTCACACTCAGCTCAGCTGGAGGCTGCAGAAGGTATACTGGAGATTTATCAATAGAATGAAAATAAATAAGCAACAAGGCAAACTACTGTATGATTTTTTTTCTATGAACAGTAGGAGAATTGGTGTAATGAACTTGGGAATAAATTATGGGGTCAAAATAGGAAAAAATGGAAATAAAGTATATTGTGATTATATGAAAATAATATTTGGGACTAAAGCTTTGGTATATAAAAAGGTATTTAACATTAGTTTCATAAAGGTGAAGGAAAATATGCATTGAAAATCAAATCAAATAAGGACTGAAAGATAGCCTATAAATCAGTACACAAATAAAATCGGTGTTTTTTTATCTGAAAAAAAAAAAAAATGAGGAAGCTTGAAAAATTACATACTAAACAAATATACGTAATGAGAGTAAGATAGTTGAGCAATTATTTTTCTGATGCAAGAGAATTTTGCTTCTGAACTTTAGAATTTGTTGCAATGTTAACATTATAACTGAAATGGATTTTTTCAGTTGTTTTTTTCCAATAATTGTAGAGTTGGTGTCTGCATGCTTGTCAGCTGGAGAGAGTGGCTTAGAGGTTCTGAATTCTGTATCAAAAGGTGTGTATCTTTATGCCAAAAGATTGATTTTGTTCTCAAACTTTAACCTATCTAATAACAATGAAAGAGAATTTTTATTTGTTTATACACAAACAAAACAGGTTTAACAGTTCAGTTGGTTTAATATCTAACATTTCAGTAATACATATAAAACACTTGAACACAAAGGAAAATGTATACCATATTGTACATCACAAAAACTCATATTTTGGTGCTCTGGGGGCTACTCATTACTTTCTCTACCTTTCATTCCTAGTCCTAAAAGCGATCACTAATTATTGTCACTCTGAGCTGATTCTTAAAGCACACAAGCCAGAACCCTGCCTTGGGCTGATCCCTAAAGGCATGTACCGGTACCAACCACAACTCCTGGCTGATTTCAGGAGTGCATAATGCCTGGGGCACAATGCCTAGGGCTGATCCTTAAGGCTTGAATCAACCAACACTCCCTGCTGATCCAGGAGTGCATGATGCCTGGGGCTGATCCCAGCAGGCCACGAAACCAGATAAACCTCTGGGCTGATCCCAAGAGGATGCTCGACAAGATGCAATGCCTAGGGCTGATCCTTTAAGGCTTGAACCAACAAACACTCCGGGCTGGTCCCAGGAGGGCACGATGCCTGGGGCTGATCCCAGCAAACCATGAAACAAGACAGACCTCTGGGCTGATCCCAAGAGGATGTTCGACAAGATACAATGCCTAGGGCTGATCCTTAAGGCTTGAATCAACCAACACTCCCTGCTGATCCAGGAGTGCATGATGCCTGGGGCTGATCCCAGCAGGCCATGAAACAAGACAGACCTCTGGGCTGATCCCAAGAGGATGTTCGACAAGATACAATGCCTAGGGCTGATCCCTAAAGGCTTGAACCAACCAACACTCCGGGCTGACCCCAGGAGTGCATAAAGCCTTGAGCTGATTCCAGCAGGCCACAAAACAAGGCAAAAAGTCGAGAGTTAATACTATGGGCTAATCCCATTTGTTGCATACAATAAGACATACTAAATATTCCAATATATATACAACCTAAATATCTAGACAAAAATAATCTTCCTCACACAAAATAAAATATAAGTAATGTGGGGGCAAAATTCCCTAGGAATGAACGCCAAAGGAACAAAGTAGTGAGAGAAGCCCCAAAGAGTGTGAATAATATAGTAGTTTGAACATTTGTGACAAATTATCAAAATTTGGATGATCAAAGTTTTACATAGGAGTTTACAGGAAAATTCTTTAAAAATCTTCTTCTCAAGAACAGCAAAGCCATGATTGGTCATATTCATATGGAAACATCTTCAAGTAGTGTAGATTCAAGTTTGTTCAAAGCATGACCCCAGGGGGTAGGGTTGGGCTTCAATAGACTATCAAAGTTTTACATAGAATATATAGGAAAAATCTTTAAAAATCTTCTTCTCAAGAACAGCAAAGCCAGAATTGGTCATATTTATATGGAAACATCCTCAGATAGTGTAGATTCAAGTTTGTTTAAATCATGACCCCCAGGAGATAGTTGGTCAAAGAAATAGTTAGTGTAGATTCAATTTTGTTCAAATCAGCCCCCCCCCCCTTTTTTAGGGCAGGTCAGAACCACTTATACATTTAAACTTTTCAATACTGAACTGATTTTTGCTTTTTTCCTAGCTACAGGGCTCAGGTGAGCTACCTGCAGTAGGTGTTAAAATTTAAATTGTCACATATTTCTAGCTCACCTGAGCTGAACGCTCAAGTGAGCTTTTATGATCACATTTTGTCTGGCATCCATCTGTCTGTCCATCTGTAAATTTTTCACATTTTCGACTTCTTCTCAAGAATCTTAGGCCAATTTCAACCAAACTTGCCACAAAGCATCCTTGGTGAAGGGGATTCAAGTTTTTTAAAGGACTTATGGCATGTTTCAAAATTATTTGAAATTAAAAGTGTAAAACGTTCATTATGACCACAGTTTATAAATTTTGTGTTTTTACTGCGGATAAACCATGGTAATTAATCAATTATTGAATCAAAGGAAAACCCCTGATTTAAAAATCTAAGTCAATAAGATAGTGATCACGTGACCCTGTGACGTCAAAGGCGACAATGGCTGATCAGCTCTTCACGTTAATCTGACGAAAATATACGCGATACAGCCTGAATTTTCTGCGTTGTGGACGACCAAATTGCTTATTTTATTGATATGAAATTGAATATCCAACCTTATATGTTAGAGTTGTCAGCAAGAAAAAATCTGTTAACATTGTAAAAATAGTAGCGAGGAAGACGCAGCAAAGACGAAGAAACTCGCCATCAGAATACAATTTGATTTTTCATCTTATCACATGTATTTACATATTTGATTCACAAATTTAACATTATATAACCGTTGTTCTGCGTTTCTAACATAATATTAATTTATGCAAGTCTTCATATGTTTTTTAAAGGATGGCGATCTTGAAAAATAATTTCCCGATCACGAAATATTGCCATAATCAAAGCTACAGATTCTAAATGTTTAGAATAAAAAAAAACAAAAATATCTCATAAGCCTCATACCTTAGAACTAGTTAATGTTTATATAATAATTGAAAAGCACGTTAGGAATTAATTTTTTCACCATTTTTCATAATTAAGCTGCATTTGTCGTTGATAACTCCGTAAATAGTGTGTATATTCTTATCTCTCTATCACTGAATCATTGCCTATGATGTCAGAGCAGTATTTCGCCGAAATTCGACTGAAATATGCATATTGCCGTTTTTGAATTTCAACTCCCAATATCTCTTAAAATATGTTTTCAACAACGTTTATTGGATTCATTATTTTAGGAAACAAGGTTGTAGATAATATTTGTCATAAAATTACGATTTTTGAAAAATCATGTGATAAGTCCTTTAAAATGAAGGGCCACACCATCTTTCAAGGGGAGATAATTAAGAATCTGTGAAAATTTGGTGTCATCTTTTAAAAATCTTCTTCTCAAGAACCATTGAGCTAGAGTTAAATTTGTTCAAATCATGACCCCAGGGGAAGGGTGGGGCCGCAATAGGGGATCAAAATTTTACATGGGAATGTATAGGAAAAACTTTTTAAAAATCTTCTTCTCAAGAACAACAAATCCATGATTAGTCATGTTGCTTTGGAAGCATCCTCAGGTACATGTAGTTTGGATTCAAGTTTGTTTAAATCATGACCCCGGGTTTAGGGTGGGGCCACAGTTGGGGATCAAAGTTATACAATGGAATATATAGGAAAAATCTTTAAAAATCTTCTTCTCAAGAACAACAAAGTCACCATTAGTCAATTTGATATGGAAGCATCCTCAGGTAGTGTAGATTCAAAATTGTTTAAATCATGACCCCTGGGTTTAGGGTGGGGCCACAGTGAGGGATCAAAGTTTTACATAGGAATATATAGGAAAAATCTTTAAAAATCTTCTTCTCAAGAACAACAAAGTCACCGTTAGTCAATTTGATATGGAAGCATCCTCAGGTAGTGTAGATTTAAGAAATAAACAACAATGTTAAAAAATTCTCTGGGAAATGAAGTTGGTTGGTCACGTGATCAAATCCCGAAAGGCTTCTCAGATGATTTGATCACGTACCAACCAAGTTCATTTCCCAGTGAACTTTTTAACATCTTTGTTTATTACTTTTATTTACATTTGAGACGAACATTCTGAAAAGAACTGCATTTATTACATGAACGGCCCGTCGTATTGCTATGTTGTGACGCGCAATGACCAAGAAGCTGTTTGGTCTTGAGAGTTTGCCTCGCTCCAACATTTGAATACTTACATTGATGTTCATCAGTCCAGTTCAGGAAATATCTGTTCATAATGAAAAATCCATATTTGCTACTGAGAATAATCTTACTATTATTGTATGAGTTCTTAAAATATGAAGTCAAAAGCGGTGGTATCGTCTCCAGTTTACATAACTTCAAAGGAATTTCGGGTTAAAGAGGTAAGCGTGTTTTTAGGCTAATTAAAAGCATTCTTCACACCGAAGAAAGAACTAATGATCATTTGTTGAATGAAGAAAAACATATATGATTCAATAATTTTATCTTTTTCATCGCTTTAACGGCTTAGAAGTTCCGAAACCAGTGTCACCGTGACAGAAATATGTAGACAAGATATCATCTCGCTGTGTGATTCAGTCACACCATGACCTCTGACCCCCTAATAAGTTCATACAGAATTGAACATATTTTCTCTTCAATAGGTTCATCTAAGAAAAATATTTGCAAATGTAAATAATCAAAATTGTTTAAATCATGACCCCTGGGGTAGGGTGGGGCCACAATGGGGGATCAAAGTTTTGCATAGGAATACATAGGTAAAATCTTTAAAAATCTTCCTCTCAGGAACAAGAAAGCCACAATTAGACATACTAATATGGAAGCATCCTCATGTAGTAAAGATTCAAGTTTGTTCAAATCATGACTCCTGGGTTTAGAGTGGGGCCACAATGGGGGATAAAAGTTTTACATAGGAATATATGTATAGGAAATATCTTTAAAAATCTTCTTCTCAAGAGCAATAATGCAATTAGTCATAATAATGATATTAAATCATCCTCAGGTAGTGTAGATTCAAGTTTGTTCAAATCATGACACCTGGGGGTAGGGTTGGGCCACAATGGGGGATAAAAGGTTTGGCCACAATGGGTGATAAAAGTTTTACATAGAAATATATAGGAGCAATCTTTAAAAATTTTCTTCTCATTGACAAGAACAACAAAGCCACAGTTATTCATATTGATATGGAAGCATCCTCAGGTAGAGAAGATTTAAGTTTGTTTAAATCATAACCCCTTGGGGTAGGATGGCGCTTCAATCGGGGATCAAAGTTTTACATAGGAATATATTGGAAAAATCTTCAAAAATCTTCTTATTAAGAACAACAAACCCACAATAAATATATTTAGATGAATAATCATCAGTAGTGTAGATTCAAGTTTGTTCAAATCATGACCCCTGGGGATAGGGTGGGGACACAGTGGGGGATAAAAAATTTACAAAGGAATATATAGGAAAAATCTGTAAAAATCTTTTCAAGAATAAGAAAGCCATGATTAGTCATATTGATATGGAAGCATCCCCAAGTATATTAAAGTATATTTATATATATTATAATACAGTGTATTATAATACAGTATATTTGTATATTTTTAATTAACAGTCAAATTAGGGCAAAAAATGGACTACACAACTGTGCTAAAGTAGAAAGCTTTTATTTTATTCAATAAGAGGGTATTGGAAGCCGGGACCATGTATACAGCTTAACTGGAAACATCCTTAAAATATTATCAAATGAACAATTGTCAACCACAGGTGGATCTATTCAGTCAGAAGTAGAGAAATCCACAGATAAAGTAAAGCATCTGATCAAGGTAGCAGAAGACTTGGTCCCCAAGATGGTGGATGTTAAAGAGCAGGAGATAGGAGACCTTGTAGAGAATGAGATGAACTCCACCCATGTTGTTTTAGAGCAGGCAGCAAAGAAAATAGAGGTCTGCTTATATAACCTTAGAACAGATTGCATGGAAAAATACTTGTTTTTATTACATTTTCAACAGTGAAATACTGTAATTTATTTACTGAATAAAAGTGATATTTTGACACAGTGTGAAAGGATGTCAAAATGGTATTCTCACAGTGTGAGAATATCAGAAGTGCGGCAAAACTTTCGATTTTCCTTCCCTTCACAAAGAGTGTTTTTTAAAAAATCCCTGGCCTGTTAAAAGATAGAGTTAATGAGCCATCCTGACAGAGACCAATAGTTATACTGCCAAAGTTTTTCCAAATATATCATTAAAAATCCATGTTTACAACACTTTTAGTTCACCTGAGCTGAAAGCTTAAGTGAGCTTTTCTGATCACTCGTTGTCCATCGTCCGTCCGTCCGTCTGTAAACTTTTGACATTTTCAACTTCTTCTCAAGAACCACTGGGCCAATTTTAACCAAACTTGGTACAAAGTATCCTTGGGTAAAGGGGAATTTAAATTGTGAAAATAAAGGGCCAAGTCCCTGTACAAGGGGAGATAATCAAGAAAAGACAAAAATAGGATGGGTTCATTCAAAAATCTTCTCAAGAACCACTGGGCCAAAAAAGCTGAAACTTATGTGGAAGCATCCTGGGATAGTGTAAATTCTAAATTGTTAAAATCATGACCCCCGTGAGTAGGGCGGGGCCACAATAGGGAATCCAAATTTTACATTGAAATATATAGGAAAAAACTTTAAAAATCTTTTTCTCAAGAACCACTGGGCCAGAAAAGCTGAAATTTATGTGGAAGCATCCTGGGGTACAGTCCCTGAAACGTTCTACTTTCCCACTTGAACGGTGAGCAAATGGTGAACGAACGCAGAGCGAACAGTGTGAACGCTGAACGCAACTTGGTGAATGATGTGTGAACGCTGAACGGTGAGCGAACGCAGAACGTGAACGGAGCTCAAACGCGAGCGCAAAGTGAACGGTGAACGAATGGTGAACGCAAGATGAACGATTCAATGGAATGCCTCTGATCTTTTCTTTGCATTGAAACTATTCTATTGTATTCTAATGCCTGGTGCTAAAAATAAATAAGTAATAAATAAATAAACAAATCGATGAAAATTGTCCCAAGAAAGACGATACATGAACATTAAGTAAAATTATTAATTTAAGTTTCTTACAATATTTTCTGCACATATGTACGATGTTTAAATTCAACTTTTTAATAACACGACTTTTATTGCTGTAAAACATTGTACACGTAATTATTACCGAACGCTGTAGTATAAAAGAAAAAATTAATCTAGTTGTAAAATAAATATGTTTATTCTTATTTGATATATAAATCCATTACAAATAATGTGGAATTTAGAAGAGAAAACTATGGACTTATAGAATGAATTAAAACGGTTGTAACAACCATACATATATTTTTGTGCCAAGGCAATTCCTTGTAAAATAATGAGGAAAAAAAATTAAAATATTTTACAAAGGTATGTGGACGTATTGCACAAATACACTCGTATTTTAAAATTTTAATGCAATAATATATTTATGTGTCATTTTTATTTTTTATGATGATTTATTGAGCAGACTTCTACATGTATCTGTAGACATTTCCCGGCCGTGATTATACTCGGACAAGATGATACAAGAGGCATTCATATTATTTGTTGTAGATTAAATTTTCACAAATTGAAATTTAAGTTATATGTTGTCATAGTTTTTATTCAACACACAAATGAGAGAGAGAGAGTGAGTGAGAGAGAAAGATTCGGTTTTAGCCCCCCCCCCTTTTCCTCAAATGTTTGTACATGTACCTATATCAAACAAAAATTCTTAATTTTTTTCTAAATATATCAGGCAGTGAAAGTAACCAATTTTTATTAACAAATGCATTTGTTTGCCAGTCATAATCAGTTTTTATTTTCGTGCTTCAAGTTCACATGAAGTCCAGGTGCTTGACCTGTCAATCAAAATCATTCGACACTGTGAAGGTGTGATAGTCTTTTCACACCGAAGGCAAAATGATAGTATTTTCAAGAAGTTTTAACATTTTTTCTTTTCATTTCTAGCTCTGATTCCAACATTTCTAAAAAAAAAAAAAAATGAATAAAATACATTGGGAATAAACACTTGGAATGATTAAGCCACTTGAATTTGAAACATACTCCCTGCCAACTTAAAATATCACTGCAGGCACATGTATATTCTGAACTACTATTGTTTAATGACTTTGTTTAGATGCATGTTTGTTTTGAGACTGAAATTTTTGTGCTACAAAACACATTAACTTCTTTTTAAATGTTATTTAAAACATACTGGAAATACTAACTAAGTAACCGATTTGGGGGGAGGGGGGGCCTTTAATCATATCGAATGGCATGGCAAATATATAAAGTGAGGGTGAAAAATATTTTTACTGGAAAATCACCTTGGTTATATTAATGATAATCATGTTATAAAGGTATTTCTCTCTAATTAAAGACTTTATATATGTAAAGTAGAAAAAAATTCTATAATGTATTACATTTTGAACAAATATTTTGTTTAAACCACACTGTCAATTTAATTCGCTCTAAAGATATTTAATTAACTGGATATCCGCAGTACTGTTTATAATTCTCAGGACTAGTTCTAACTTATTTCTGTATTATTTGAAAAAAATGTGTTAGAAATAAATATTTTCGTATTTTTGCTGCAGTTGGTAAATTAATTGACTTGGATGATTATTTATCCATTAACGTTAGTCGTCTATAACATAACAACAAAATGTTGCAGTGCTTGAAGTACAATGTATCTGTATATTGCCCGTATTTAAATTAAAATTTTTTCTGCATCGTTCTACATAGGTAACATACTTATAACAACATTTATTTTCCAGATAAATTTAATAAATAACCTAACAGCTAAGTTGGAATAAAAAAATAAATTTTGTAGATAATTTTTTCCCATGAAATAATGATTCTTTAAACACGATATGTTAATTATTAAATTTAAAAACCTGTAAATCCTTACTAACAGAAAGATAAGTCCTTTCACTTCGGAGTTCTGAATGACAATAAAGACTGAACGATTTGTGAACACAGAACGCAAGGTGAACGCAAAGTGAACGAATGAAGAGCGAACGCTGAATGCTTTGTGAACAGTGAACGCGAGCGCACGGTGAACGCTGAACGCAAAACTGTGAATGGAGAGCGAACGGTAAACGCACGGTGAACGAACGGTGAATGCACGCTGAATGAACGGTGAACGAACGGTGAGCGAACGGAAAAATGGGAAAGTAGAACGTTTCAGGGACTGTAGTAAAGATTCTAAATTGTTCAAATCATGACCCCCGGGAGTAGGGCGGGGTCACAATAGGGAATCCAAGTTTTACATTGAAAATATGTAAGAAAAATCTTTAAAAATCTTCTTCTCAAGAACCGCTGGGCCAGAAAAGCTGAAATTTATGTGGAAGCATCCTGGGTTAGTGTAGATTCTAAAGTGTTCAAATCATGACCCCCAGGGGTAGGGCTGGGCCACAATAGGTATTACAAGGGGGGATCCGGTAAAGAACAGCATGGCCAAAGTTACTCAGGTGAGCGATGTGGCCCATGGGCCTCTTGTTCAATCTTGCAATCCCTTAGCTATGACGTCTCAACTGCTCAACTATGACATCACAGCCTATGTGTTACGAAAAGTCAGAGGCAAAGGGAAAATATAAGAAAATATTTAAAAAAAAAAAAAAGAAAAGAAAATTCAATGTTTTGTAGATGAATATGGAATTTATTTCACTTGTGAGGCAGGATTTTTTTATATTTTCACTCGTGCTTCACACTCATGAAAATATATTTACATTATTATAATACATGTATTTTGCTTATAAAGTGTGTGGAAAGCTACAGCATTCAAAACAACATGGACAGGGGTCAAATGGTTAAGGTATACGTTTTATTTTGACGTCACAAACGCTGAACGCCATGGTATTGCAACGTCATAAGCAAAAATCAAAATTCACGCTCACATTGAACAGAAGCTGATGCAATGGCTCTTCCATTAATTGTAACTTACCCGAAGGATAATACAGGGATTTTGAAATAAAAATCACATTTGCAGTCAAGGGAAGGCGTTAAAAAATGTAAATATAAGCATTGAATCATTATTTTTTGAAAGAAATAGTCACGTTACTCAATTTGTTTGCACACAACGTTGCAGTTATGAAACTATATCTTTCAAAAAATAATGACTCAATGCTTAAATAAAAAAATCCTGTCCCACTTGTGAAATAAATTCCATATTCAACTACAAAACATTGAATATCCTCTATTTATACTGTTAGATACCATTGATTTTAGTGCACAGTAACCAAATCTCTGAGAAGTTTTATCTGTTTGGTTAACTGGTTACTCTGTCGGAAAAAAATTGTGACTAACCAGTTATTTAATTATTTCATTGAAATCCCTACTACTTTTACATTTTAATGAACAACTTGTTGATGTAGGAGGATTATACAGTAAAACACCCTTATAACAAAGTGCCAGGGATGGACAATTTAACTTCATTATAAACGTAATTCATTTTATTATATAGTCTATTTATAGTCCCTATATAATCTATACAAACGCAAACGGTTCATAACACTACATATTCACCGGATTTGAAGCCGTATTCACCGGAGGGTCAGTGAGCGTGCAGCGGCATTGTGACGTCACAATCAAATCCTCAAACAACGTTGTAAACAATTGGTTGCAACGACCAGAGCCAGCTGTGTATCTGAGCAGGAAAAATGTCAGGCTAGCCTAATGCAGGATTATTTTCCAAACACTTCGATGTCTTACGCACAGCAGAAGAAAACACAGACGTTATAACTTGTAATCTGGACATTTTTTTTAATTTTTCAACGACAGAAGTTCGTAAATGAAAAGAATGTCGTCATACAGTCAGTCATGAATATCGTCATGCAGCCTTCAGTGTCTTATTTATTCAAATTCGGACTATATAATAAAACAATTATGGACTCTTTCGGTGGTGAATATGGTTTGTTATTCACCAGAAAAATATCAATATTGACCTCGGCTTCGCCTCGGTCAATATTGATATTTTTCTGGTGAATAACAAACCATATTCACCACCGAAAGAGTCCATAATTGTATAATATCCGTTAAGTTTACATTATATTTTAAAGCCATTGGGAATGAAAATCACTTTGCTATAAGTGTCAATTCATTATAAGTGTGTTTGTTATAACTGTGTTTTACTGTAACAGGTAAAGGTATAGTAAATACGTAGTTAAAGTGTTCAAATCCCAAGATGAAGGGTTACCTGTTTGGATTTGTCTTTTCTCTGACTGTTTGCAGGAGATGCTCCACCAGACAAGAAAGGACATGTCGGGTGTAGAGCTGACAGTCAATGAGAGTATTCTAGATTCCTGTACAGGACTCATGCAGGTCAGTATTAGCTGTAGTACTATTGTATAGGGTGGTTTTGTCTAGAGAGTCTCACAGATAACTTGTATATACAGTCCTGCCATACTAACCCATTGTGTTTAATAACTTCTGATCATAACTAATTTTCAATTCAATAATTAGCTCACCTGAGCCAAAGACTGTCCAGTGTCTATCTGTCATGTGTCATCTGTAAACTTTTCACATTTTTAATTTCCTCTCAAGAATCAGTCAATTTCAAGCAGACTTGCCAAAAAAGCATCCTTGGTTGAAGGGGATTTAAATTTGTTGAAATGAAGGGTCATATATTAATATATTCATCTACATGCAAAAAGAAATTAAAATCCATGACATGTAAGGTACCATCCATTTCCTAGTTTTGTGGTGGAATACTTCTAAACAAACTTAGTTTTATCTATTTCTATATTTGATCTATATGAAGTGTGAAAATGAATCAAAACTATGATGATGGACAAGGAACACAAACCTTGATTGGTATTTTTAAGGTGCTTAAAAAAAAGTGCCAGAATATGATTCCGTGCATTGTGAGATTATCATGTATGTGACCTTTTAAGCATTTCCCTTTATAGGTTTATTTATAGGTATAATCAGGTAAAAGACAAAGAATTTCAATCTGACAATGTTTTCAAACTTCCGATTTGTTTATGGAAATTTTTTTAAGTACTATGTAAATTATAAATTAACATGAAAATGACTTTTATCAGGCTATCAGAGTGCTTCTGGTTAAATCACAAGATCTGCAAAAAGAAATTGTGGCACAAGGAAGGGTAAGTAAAACTTATTATAGTTGAAGGAAAAAAGAAATAGTTCAATTTGTTGGGAAATGATATTTTTGTCATTTCAACAAAATATTATGAGGCTTTTATGATGTATGCAAAGCCATGTAAAAACAGCATTAATTTTAAAGGGTGTTAAATAATGATGGTTGGTGCACAGAAATTTTTTTGACTTTTAAAAATAGCATTGTCAATGAAGTGTTCTTTATTACCAGGCTGTACTGAAATATAATGTGACAAAATTTACCTCCATAAAAACTCTATAATCTGGATTACTCGTAAACATTCATTAATTAGACATCCTAAATGGAAAAAATATAATGTTGAATGCCAAAACACATTTAGTTAGATATTGTCAAAAATGGTGGCATCGGGCTATAATGAGGAGGACCAGATTATCAAGCAGTACTGTGTTGAGTGGGGTATGACTCCTTTTCATACAGGAAAAGAGAATGTTAAAGATCGAACGAAACAAATCATTTCCGACAAATGTTTTTATCTGGTTAAAGAGGTTCAAGGATGGCTCGACTGGTTATCTGATAGGAGAGGCATTTGGTAAACCAACAAAAATTAAGACCATCTGAAAAGTCTGTAAAGGGAGCTGGATTAACTCATCTCTTATTTGCAACTCCACCTATATCACTGAATAAAATTTAATGAGATTTTCACAGAATCTCTACTTCATAGTATCGCTGTGCACCTTATATTTTTAGGTCACCTTAATCACTCAGGTAACCTATTGCTATCCGTTTTCGTGCGTTGTGCATCGTGTGTTAACATTTGAACATTTTCAGCTTCTTCTCTGAAACCGCTGAACCAATTTCAGCCAATTTTAGGTTATGGCATTTATGGGTGAAGGGGAACAAATTTGTGAATTTCATGGTCCGTGCCCCACTGGGGCCTGAGGGGTGGGACTAAAATCATCAAAATTAGTGCTATCTTTAAAAATCTTCTTTACTCCTGGACATTAAGCATATAAACTGTTGGTATGATTGTAATAAGCATTGAGCCCTCTACCACAATTGTAAAAGTCATGGCCCCAGTGTCAAGGGTTCTGAAGTTAGGATGGGGCTCTGTTGATCATATAGTGAAAATGCATAAATTCTTTGAAAATCTTCTTCTCTCCCCCTGTATATAAAGAAGATAAACTAGGTGCATGGTTATGATGATCAATGGTGCCTCTTCCAAAATTGTGAAATTTGTGACCTCAGGGTGAGGGGTTCTGTGGGAAGGGGCTCTATTGATTATATATTGAAAGCGCATTATTTCTTTGAAAATCTTCTTTGCTCCTAGGTAATTAGCAGATATACCAAGTATATATTAGTTATGATAAGCAAGGGCACCTCCTCCAAAATTATGAATGTCTTGGCCCCTGGGACAGGGGTTCTGATATTAGGGCAGAGCTCTATTGATCATATATTGAAAATGCATAAATTCTTTAAAAATCTTCTTCTCTCCTCCTGTATTGTTATTAAGGAAGCATACTAAGTGCATGGTTATGATGAGCATTAGTTCCTCTTCCTAAATTGCAAATATCTTGGCCCCTGGGTCAGGGGCTTTGGTATTATGGTGGGGCTATATTGAATCTGTAGTGAAAATGGATTATTTCCTTGAAAATCTTCTTCTCAGTGCCTGGGCATCTAGGAGGCAAATAGAGTATATGAAGTTGTAATAAGCAAGGATTTTTTTTTTTTTACCAAATTTTGAAATTATGTACCCTTTAGTCAGTTTATTAATTTCTATGGAAAGAAGTTATTCCCCTTTGCTATTCACCTTTAATAATTAATCACTGTAAATAATGTAACTTAAAAGGTCAATTGAATAACAGAATTATACAAGAAATTTTATAATATTTAATACAGAAGTACTTTTATAGTTTTTGATGGTCAGGTAAACTTTTAAATAATAGATAAATAAAAATGGGACAAAAATACCATGTCTTTGTACCATAAATAATCTTCAAAGACTAAGAGAGACCAATGTGAGGGGGGAATGAAATGTGTTAACTAATAGTGCTCTAGAGCTATTGTTCTGTTTAGTCTGCATGAGGATAGTGACAAATGGGGGAAAGTATAGGCAAATAAATTGATCAACTTTAAGATTTTTTATTGAGTACTAAATTAATATTTTGCTGATCCCTGATCATCCTATTTCTCTTGCTTTTGAGCAACATAGCTTTATTTATCAGCTTATTTTGTTTTAATCTATGAATCATTACATTATACTCAAGTGACCATTAAGGCCCTAGGGCCTCTTGTTTCATTTTCATTGGACAGATATTGAGGGTTTTCCTTGGCAAAACATGGACACTGTCATTCTCTCTATTATATTTGGGATGCCCATCTTTTATCTGCAACTCCTCCTACACCACTGAATAAAATTAGATGAGACTTTTAAAGAATCTTTATTACATAGATTCATTGTGCACCTCCTGTTTCACAATCTGACCTGACAGATATTTGGGGTTTCTCATAGCAAATCATGGACACTGCGATTCTTTCCATAATATTGAGGGTTCCTTTTTCTTATCTGAAATTCCTTAATACTATTGAATAAAATGTAAGAAGACTTTTGTAGAATCTTTATTAGTCCCCTACCGGTGAAACCGGAGGGGACTATAGGTTTCCTCTGAGTCTGTCCGTCCGTCTGTCTGTCTGTCTGTCTGTCCATCTGTCTGTCCCTCTGTCTGTCTGTCAGTCTGTCCCACTTGGTTTTCCACACTTTTTTCTTAAACCCTTGCAGGTATTGAGCTGATTTTTGGTATCTGAGTGTATCTTGATGAGTTACAGATCAAGTTTGCATTTCGTTTCGCTTCATTGATTTTTTATGGAATTACGGCCTTTTCAATTTTTAAGGGTTTTCCGCAATTTTCTTCTAAACGCTTGTATATATTGAGCTGATTTTTAGTATGTGGTTTTACCTTGATTAGTTATAGATCAAGTTTGCATTTCGTCCCACTTCATTAATTTCTGACGGAATTATGGCATTTTCAATTCTTAATGGGAACCAGATTACACTTGCCGGTAGGGGACTAGTATTGCTAATGCAATACTCTCAGAATGCTTGTTACATATGGCCCTTGTGCACCACCTATTTTAGGTTTAGATTGCATGGACAGATACTTGAGCTTTCCTATAGCAAAACATGGACAATGCCATTCTTTCTATTATATTAGGAATATGGAATTCCTGATTAACCATATCTATCTAACAGTCCTAGCATAGGTTTTGATTATTTTCTTTGAAAAGTCTTATGATTATGATGTCCTCAAGTGGTGGAAAAGGTGTTTTTCCAGTATGTTCACACATTATTAGGTCAACTCATTTCAGGAGTCATAAACACCACAGAAATAGAAAAAAGATATCACAATGCATATGCTGCATCCTGATAATCAATTAAGCAGAAAATATCAGTTATCAGAATTCTTTATTTCCCCTTATATTTGTTGTAGGGTACATCTAGTGTAAAGGAGTTTTACAAGAAGAATCACAGGTGGACAGAGGGTTTATTGTCTGCTGCTAAAGCAGTTGGATGGGGAGCCTCATCACTGTTGTAAGTGTCAGCATCTCTACTTTATAACAAATATTGTTTTGTTTTATGAAAATTTAATGGGTTTGTACCCTGAATGGTTATAACCTCAGCCTACAAAATTAGGAACCTCTATACCAATCCCTATAAATCTTGCGCTAAAATAGATGCCACCGAAGGTGGCCGGTGTACAGTATAATACGATCATGTGAGTGATTGACAAAATTGAAAAAAAGGCCACAAATCGCAAAATTGAGCCAAAATTTGTGTTCCTTGTGAAAAATTGGGTTTTTTAAACATGGTTTTTTAAATGAGAATTAAAAGATTTCGTAAAATAACGTACTTGTTTAGTAGGAGAAACTCCATCGTGCATTGTTTAGGAATATGGTCACATGATCAATTTTTGACATCTCATTAATATTCATGACGTGCATCACTTGTGTTTTGAGGTAATGAAGAAATAGCTGATAGGACTCAAAGTGAAATGCTACTAAAATTGAGAGATTTTTGTGAGAAATGCAGGAATTTAACAAGTGGTAACTAATTACTAGTAGTTGGTTGATTGAAATTTGCATCACCATCAATTTGAAAGGAAAAATATTCTGAATATGGACATTGGAAAGTCAGGATATCGAGCTCAAGTAAACGGCAAGTCGTTTTTCTAATAACTTGCCTAAACTGAGTGCACAATATCGGGCATGTTTTGATATTAGACCAAGGCTAAATCATCCAAGTTTCAGTCACAAAACTTTCCTGTTCTTTGTAAGCAAAAATTGTATGTGATGGAAATGTGAGCATGGAGCATGGGTGCATATAAAACAGTTACAATATCCGAGATAAATATATATTTAAAACATTGCTGTGATGTTGTGTCTTTGTTCTTGCAGTCTAAAAATTTACCTGTAGCCATCTGATAATAATAATTACCAGTCCAGTAATATATCATCGGATGGCAGTGATAACAAAATCGGACAGTATTTAAAAAGCAACAGGTAGAGTGAAATCACGGTTTAATATGTCCAGAAACAAAAAAAAAAGGGAAAAACAAATTCAGGGAAAGCAAATGCAAGGAAATTAAGTTGCTAAAAAATAGCAAGTCCATGAAGAAGAAAATTGAAGTTTTAACCTTCCTCAAAAGTAACACTTTCAGTTTGTTAACCGTCCTCAAAAGTAACACTTTCAGTTTGTTTTTTGCTGAGTGTTTTCGAAATATAAATTTAAATGTAAAGAAGCGAATTTAAATCCATTTCTGATAAAGAATCTGCGAATCTCGTAATTTAACGAGAATTGTTCGCCGATGGCCACACTATTTAAAATCTGAGATTTTCATTATATAATCCAACTAAAAATTTTAGATAAGAACCCACATTTCTACTTTCCATGCATGGTGATAATATCATCCCACACTGTGTCTGTATCACATAAAAAAATTCCTTCATCACCTGACCATGCACTGTCCATAGTCCTGCTAAGCTAAACGACTGCCATTTATTGAATAAATGAATGAAACAAAAGAGTTCACTCACTGTTTTACTGTCTAAAGAAAAACCACTTTCTCTTTTCTTTTGTCTACTTATTAGATGGTTTCAGGTAGAAAATTATTGATGCCTGAACTCCTATTGTGTAATTATCGGACTTCTCTAGGTATCTTTTGGACATCTGAATGGTTTCAGGGTAACCAAAGATAATTGCATAGGGAATTAACTTAATTGACTTCAGAGACTAGATAACAATGTACTAAACATATTATATACGAGCCATCTGCTTAACTTTGAAACTTTAAGACATATTTTTTGTACTAATTGTTAAATGCTAAAATGAATGAAATAGAATGTACATATAGCATAAAATAGAAATGGAAATCATGTAATATTCATATATATAAAATTATGTAAGATCCCTAACTCTTTGGTTAGTGGCTATAGTTTGCTTAAGTTTTACATGTTTCATGCTTTACTCCTGTAAGATAATATATTGGAACGGTTTAACATTAGGCGGATTCATGCAAAAATTACATGAAATAGCCCAAAGTCAGGAAGATTTAAGAGTGGAATTATAAAACAGATCCAGTCTTAATACTCCAACCCTAATCACTTGATTGAATGCATTTTGTTGAAGCAAGGGGAAAATGGTGGTTTGTTTACATTCTGCATAGCAATGACAAGGGAAATAACCATTCATGAGCAGTCGTGTGATTCTGCAGACCACCATACTAGAAACTTTCACAAAATTACAGAATGTGGTCATGCACCCTCGTTTGTCTGTCTTTCCAAAGTATATCTAAAAAAATTGTGAATGGATTTCATTGAAAAGGTGTACTAGAGCCAGAGAGGTTAAGACAAATCAAGACTTATAATTTAAGGTCATCTGGGTCACTCAGGTGGCATTTGTCCTTGTCCAGCAATATGCTTCGATCACTTATAAACTTTTGAACATATGAGTGTTGAACCAAGTTCAACACATTTTTTACATAGCATCTATTGCTAAAGGGAAACCCAAAAATGCAAATTTCATGGTCTCTAGCTACCTTCTTGGAGCCTGAGGGGTGTTGCCAAAACCATAAAAAAAGAAAGTATTCTTCAAAATATTTTTTATGAAACCTTATATGCTGATACAAACTGAAGAGAGCTATATATTCAACTTCATCAACAATTTTTTACCTTAATTTCCTTTGACTTTGACCTAACTGCAGAGCTGTAGCTCTTTGATTGAGAAAATTTGGACAGACGATTAGGGTAGGGTGGTGTAACTTCGACCACCTGGTTATAATTTTGACCACTCATAAATACCTGAAAATATTTTGTTTATAGCATATTATTGTGTACATACATCTACTTTATGCAGAGAGAAAATGTATTTTTAATATATTGTGCTGATAATAATTTTATTTCCATGAGTGTAATTAAGATCTTTATGGAAAATTACGTCCAAGAAGAGGCTTTATCACATGAAAAATTACGAACAAGTATTTTTCAGCCACTACAGCGAATTATCACTTCAGAAAATATTTTGTATGGAAAGACCGTCAATGGATATCCCTGGCGTGACATGTATAAAATATGTTTTTGAAACTTAAGGTATGTCACTCGTCAGCTATTTAATAAAATTCAATTTCTATAACATATTTAAATTAAACAATGCAAGTTGTTCAACATTCAATGAAAAAACTGCACAAAAATTCATAAGGAAGCAAGATTTATGAGGGACTATTTCTTGTGGTGGGAGGATATTCAGAAGAAAATTCTGCAAATCTACACATTTATTAAATTCAATATCTTGGAACTTTAGCGTCACATATTTTTACTCAGAGAATATTTTCCTTTATGATATGCTAGGAATATTAAATGTAGGTCTCAATTTATATTTTTAGAACAAATTTTACACCTTCCCTCAACAAACTTCCCAGAGAAATGAAGATATATTAAAGAAGTCAAGATAAAATTTACACTGTTTTTTGGGTAAAAATTGCATATTTGGACCAATATTTCAAAATTTACATCACTGACCCCAACTTTTTCTTTCATTATTTTAAACAACTCGATACTTGTGACCAACCAACAATTAAGTCATAGAAAGTTTGATACAAGAAAATATTTTATTGCCTATTTAGATTTTTAATACCCCAAATATGTTACTTTTTTAGTGCAAAAAGGTCACAGAGTAATTTACGCGCATTAATTTGCATGATTTGTTCAATGATAAATATTATTCAAAGCATTTTACGTAAAATAAGATTATATTTATTGCCATGGTTTCATCTGATAAAATATGATAAAGGTTAAAGTAATTAACCAAAGAGTTAAAATTTAAGTGCAAAAAGGTCAACTTAATTGTACCGTAGCTCAGTTAGATGCACACTGACCCCCCATTTTCTCTGCGATTTTGAGTCATACTATGTGAGTACTTATCCAAAATATACTTTTCAAAAAATCCTTGATATAACAAATTTCACGAGTGACATACCTTAAATTCATGCCCTTTTAATTTATAGTATTTAGTTTTGACAGATTAAAATGCAAATCAGCTGAACAGGAATTGGCCGAAGCAGGGTTCGACACTTACGTTAGTCCGTTAGTCTCAGACTTATACATTTTCATTCGGACTAATAAAATCTGTGGCTAATTAGTCCGAAAACGGGCCAATAAAAATATCTGGAAAACATTTTGAATAAATTAACGATGTTCGATTCTCCAAAACTTTTACTGGAAAACCCCGCATGTATTTTTAGCTTTCTAGCTTCTTGGTGGGTAGTTAAGTTTGTTGTTGTTTGTATGTTGTTTGATGTCCCTCTCGAGAATTTTTCACTCATATGGAGACTCCACCACTTGCCGGTGGAGAGCTGCAAATTTTGTCCTATGCTCGGCACTTACGGCCATTGAGCAGTGAGGGATCTTTATCGTGCCAGCACCTACTGCGGCATGGGGCCTCGGTTTATATGGTCTCATCCGAAGGACCGGTTTCCACGTCCCACAGTGGGATTCGAACCCGTGACGTAAGGATTAACTCCTTACTTCACGACTCTAGAGCAGACGATCTAACCACTGCGCCACGCGGGCGACGGGTAGTTAAGTAATTCCGAGCCAACTTGGCGCTTTATTTTGGGACTGATTGATATGAAACTTATGCCCTGTTCACACGGAGAGTTTAATTCGAATTAAACGTAAGTAACTGCGAATTAAATTTGATCCGCATTCACACGGAGAATTTAATGCGAATTAGTTTAATTCAAATTAGTTTACTGTGCATTAAATTACTTCACATTAGCTCCGTGTGAACGCTAAGCGAAGCTAATTCGAATTAAATTTTGACGCATGCGTAAGGGCAGAATTAAGTCACAGGCCACGTGTCGGTGGTCAGATATAGGTACTTAAGCTATATTTGAGTGGAAAACAGAGGAAAATTATGTTAATCACTAAAATGTGTACAAACACTATGACATTATGTCAAAATCAGTGGTCAAATGTATCTGCTAGGCACAATGTGACGTGATTCGCAAATGACGTCATAATAGCCTTACTGAATAG